AAAAAAATATGAAAATTTGGATGACTCTCCAAATTTCATTTGTGTCACATAAATTGAGACAACAAAAATAACATATATTGGGTCCATTTTAATTTATTTGTCTTATTTTTATTTTTTTTTATATTTAAAAATTGCGTAAAAATACTATAAATCATGATAATTGACAACATAAAATATTTCAAAAATGTTGTATGTGGATAGTCTTATTATGCCTTAAATAGCGTCAAAGAAAGTACAGGTTTGTGATAAAAAAACTTATTCCTTTATCCACGCAAACAATCGCTTCAAAAACTCGGTTATTAGCCCCAAAATATACCATTTATATTATTGGGCCCGTGCATAGCACGGGCAACATTATCTAGTGTTGTTTATACATTGCACTGCTTATGCACATTTATAGAATGCTATTTATGTATTTTGTCATATGTACATCATAATTGGAAAATATTGTATGTTGTATAGAAGTTTCTAATATTAGTATAAGACTCCATCTCCATCAGCAGGGGTGGCGCATACATCGGTGGAAAGTATTATTATTTATACATGGCTAAAATTATTTTTTATGTAAATATAGTAGATGTCGAACCCCCTTCGATTAGTTCGTGGGTTTACTTTTTTAGATTTTAAACCCCCTTATTAAAAATCGTAGCTCCATCAATGTGCATCGAGTGTAGGTATTTGATGAACAAAATCTAGAAAAATATGATTGTTCAGAGCTAAAGAAAATTGAAGGTCTTGGTGCGAGCACAACTATATTTCGTTATCCTAAAGAAAGAAATTTAACGTAACTAATACGTTAAAAGCACCATTTTTTGTAGACCATAATATCAGTTAAAGGGAATAACTTAGGCTCCAAAAGTTGAAGAATATTTGAAGGTGTTATCTAAGGCAAAAGTACCAATATTCATGATCTACAATATTTACTACAAAACAACTTAAGCTCCAATAATTTGAAGAAACAACTAACCAGAAAGGTGAAACAAAAACCCGAATAGAACAATCAGAGAAGAAGACAACAACAACGTGAGTCCTTTAGGAGCTTATTTTAGCCCTAGGCTTCTTCTCGGGGGGAGATTTCAAAATCGAGCTCCACAAGAAGAACTAACTCATTCATGCAAATCAAATTAAATCAAAGATGAAGGAAAATTGAGAAGAGCAATAGCCAAGCCGAGAAAGTAAAATGGAAAAGTGGGAAAAATTTTATGGTGGGAGAGGCACAAGTATGACTTAGTGTGTGAGGGATTATTTTTGGATAAAAAAATGTATAGCTCTCACCTTTTCTATTCAATATTGTTGTTTCTCTCTCTTGTCTGTCTTAATTTTATAAATAAAAAATTATGTACGTCCTATTCTTTTATTTTACATTGTTATTTCTCTTTCCCATACATTTTACTCCACATCCGTTTACTTGTCCATTTCTTTTCTTTTCCCTTTTTTAAAAAAAGTTCTTCTTTAATTCTTCTTTCCTATAATATTTCAGATCAATTTTTACTTATTAATTTTATTTATTCAATTTTTTTATATCATTCGATATATTTGTCTTTTTTATATTTGATAATTAACAATGGTTGAGTGATTGGACCCATGTATTTTTCTCTAACCTTTACTTCTCACCCCCTCCTTTTGCCATTCTTTCCTTTCACCTTTTTATTTTTCTAATTCTTTGTGTAATTTTTTAATCAGTTTTTTCAATGGTAAATATTATTTATCCAATTTTTCTTATATTATTTATATATTTATATATGTTCTCCATTTGATAATTATCACGTTGATTATTTTTAAAAAAAAAAATATTCGAGAATACAAGAAAAAATATATATAATATATTTTCCCTATTTGTGGCATTATGGTTGATAGTTTTTTATATAACTGTTTACAATGAGTTATATTAAATAAATAATAATTGTACAAAATAAAATTCATTTTATTGTAAAATGTTTCAAATCAAGACTAAAATAAAGAAAATTGAAAACCTATTTTATTAATTTGGTACGGTTTATTAATATAAAAATTGATGAAATAATTCAATTTGATAAAGTGAAAAATTGATCAATCATGCTTATATATATGTTCCAAATGAGGGATATTAATAGTTTAGTCGAATTACTATCTAGACTTTTATTTTGTAGACAAAGGTTTTATTCTTCATTTTTAATTTTCTCCACCATTTTTTCTTCTCATATTTTTATGTAATTTAAAAATTAAAAAATGATATACTTGTTAATTATCAAATATGAAAAAAGATAAAGATACGAATGATATAAAAAATTAATAAGTGAAAATTGATCTGAATTATTATAGGAAAGAAGAATTAAAGAAGAACTTTTTTAAAAAGGGGGAAAAGAAAAGAAATGGACAAGTAAATGGATGTGGAGTAAAATGTATGGGAAAGAGAAATAACAATGTAAAATAAAAGAATAGGATCACATAATTTTTTATTTACAAAATTAAATAAGACAGGAGAGAAACAACAATATTGAATAGAAAGATGGGACCTATACATTTTTTTATTCAAAAATAATCCCTCACATTTCAAGTTATACTTGTGCCTCTTCCCCATAATTTTTTTCGAAAAGTGGCAACTTAGGTGACTTTTCAAGTACCTTAGATGGAAGACACGTATACAGAGAGTTTAAGTGAAAAGTCAAAATTGTCCTACACTAAAATTTTAATGACTAAGAACAAACATGTTGATACTAACAACTCTACCCATGCGAGTAATATAGTAGAATACCAATAAATACTAAGAATCAAAATATTTAATTGCTGCATTTTTAAAATTCTTGTTGTTGTTTGTTCCTATCATGACTTATCATAATTTCAGAAAAAAAAGCAAAGGCAACTAAAAAAATATTTGTGACATTGAAGAATTATTTCTGATTTCGATATGCTGGTTTAGAAAATCTCATATACTACGTATGATGCACAAAATTTGAACCTTTTTAGTTTCTTAAATGGAGTGTGAATAGTGACAACACAAGCAAAAGAGAAAGGAGAGGATATGTAGTTTACATCGATATGAAATTTAAGAAAATTTCTAAAATAAATAAATTTCAAATGGCATATATGGTGCAAACATGACGAATAAAATAGATCGAAGGAAGTAATAATACTACTGTGAAATTGAAGTGCACCATTATTTATTATTACATAAATAATAATTTTATTACTAACTTTCGTTGCAACTCTATAGTTTTCCCTGAATTAATTCTTTCATTTTTATCTAACCAAAAAAAAAAAAACTATATGAAATCAATATGAAAAATTGAATATGTATATATAATTATCATGTAATAACTGTGCGATTCTGTAAATGCAAATATTATATTAATTTAAATTATCATGAATACTCGTAAACATCAAATTTTAAACATATTCCTACTTTTATATATTTGATATATTTAATTTTCCAAACAGACCCTTAAAACTTGTGACCGTTGAAGTGCCCCTATAAATAGGTACTAGAAAAGATGTATTTGAATTCTCACAAAATTAATATTTCTTAACCACCATGAAAATCTCTCCAAAGAATCCTCACTTTTTTAAACCCATCTTGCCTGGTTTCAAACAAGGAATTGTAAGTATTTCTTACCATATAATATATATATATAAATTAGGAAATATACTATCTATTTCTTACATATATCTTTCTTAATTCCATAAATGACTCCTTAAATAAACATTTAAAATCTTCTATAATCTTACTATACAATATTCACTTTCTTGTATTTATCTGGATCTTGATAAAATTCTTTTTCATTAAATAAAACCAGTACAAAAATAAGAATGTTATTCGTAGTATTTAATGAGAATCTGTTTTTTATTATGAGTTTTTTGTGGAAATAAGTTGAAAAACTCATGTTTTATAATACAAAAATCAATTGATTTGCGGTGAACAAAAAATCCTCTGCTTCTAGTAGTGAAAAAAGTACTAAATAACAAAATTGTAATCTTTAAAATCATTTTCTTACTTGTAGTATATTTCTTTAAAATCATTCCATATTTTTTTATATGTAATTATTATGTAATTTATACATATTTGTTGTGATGCTGCAGAAAATTCCTAAAGGTTTCTTGAAATATCTGAAGAAATATGATCAGTATGAACACGCAATACTGAGAAGGGCAGGTATAAACAGTACCAACGTCAGAAATTTTATAAAATATAATTTTTACTTTCTATTCATTTTTATTTATCCACTATATAAAAAAATAGATATTATCTTTTACTTGTTCAGTTTAACAAAGAGACCATTGGTTAAATAATTTCTATTTTTTCCTTATTATTAACTATAGTGATTTTCTTAAAACATTAGATTTATTATATTAAAAAAGTAATATAATAAATTTATTATTTTATTAATTATATTTTCAATGATGTGACAAATTAAACATGATCGGAGGAAGTATGTACTCCCTCTGTTAATTTTTTATTTTTCTTTTAAGAAATCATTTAATATGATATGTATTATAACCTACTGGTACTCTATGTAATTACTTAATAATAACGACAGTATTAAAATAAAATAAGTAAAATGAAACATGTATAATCACTATGATGAATAAGTAAAAGAAAACGAAGAGAGTATAAATAAAAAGTAATTTTGACATGTATATAATTTTTCTTATAACTAACTATCCTTCACTCTATATGACTACACAATTGCAGGTAAGAAGTGGCGAGTAAAAGTAAATGGCCGACGATTAGAAGACGGTTGGGAGAAGTTTTCAGATCAACATGATTTGCATTTGAGAGATATCTTGGTGTTCAGACATGAAGGAGATATGGAATTTGAAGTTTCCATATTTAATTTAAATCAACAATGTGAGAGAGAATACGAATACAAATATGAATATGAATATGAATCCAAAGGTACGTTTTTTATTTATGTATGTACATTCTATATTCAAAATATAGTCCATTTATATTTGTTTAATAAATAACAACTCTATCTTATTCGTATTACATAGTGTTTTTTTGCTTTTACATTTAATGTAAAATTACTTGTCATTTATTCTAGATGTTGTTAATCAATGTTATTCATGATGAAAAAAAAGAAGCAATGTCATTAGTAGAGTTTCCTTTAATAATCTTTGGAATTAGTATGGCCAAGGTAAGTAGTGTATCAATATAATTGAAATAGTGTAAGAAAGAACATATGCAAATGATTTTGATCTAACTTCTAATGTGATATTGACCTAAGCATGTTTAAATCTCGATTAATTGAAATATGCACTTTTGATTTCTTTCGAATATAAATTTAGCATAGTTATTAGTCATTATATTTTCCACCACTTAATTATGAGTCTATGTGTTACGTTAAGCTTATAATGTTACTTCATATTTAATGGTAATATAGTTCAAAAACTATCACAAGTATATCATAGCTTCTTGCATCAATGGACTAAAACGACATATTTCGACTAGTTAAAAGTTAAATGTATTTAGCCAGAATCGGCATAAAATGATTTATCATATGATTTTAGATGTTATTCATATTTTAATAGTGATCTATTTGTCATATGTGGTGAATCATTTTCTTGTGTATAAATTTAATTATGTAACAGACAAGCCAAACCACAACATCAAGTCATCAAGAAAAGCATCTCATTTTGTATGCATTGTTAGACCCTATTGCCTCTCAAGGGATGCCTTGGTAAGTCTAAGAAAATAAAACTTTGATTTTTTTTAGGTCAAATACATATGAAGTATGTACACTATTTGATTTGATTATACATAAATTATTTCAGTTAGTCCCTAAAGAATTTGCATCGCGAAATGGTCTCTTCAACACCAAGGAACGTGATTTGCTTGTCAGAGATGAAAGACAGAGGTCATGGAATGTAAAACTACGTTCATATGGTGATAGTGTTGTATATCTTATAGATGGATGGAATAAAATTCGCGATGCAAATTGCTTAATGGAGGGAGACTGCATAATGTTTGAGGTTGTTACGAGTGGAAACAAACCAATATGGAAATTCAAGAGGATGACTGAACAATAAAGCTTTCTATTTTGATTCGCCAATGAAACCGTGCTATTTTGATTTTTTTGGAACAATTTCGATGAATTTAGTAAATTATTGAGAGATCATTGTAAATTTTATCTTCGTTTTTCCTCAAAAAATTTCAAAATCAATCATACAGTATAAATATCATATAACCATCAAGCAAAATTTACAAGCTTGACTAATGCGCAAAAAAACACAAGGTGGTTACTTTTACTTACAATCATGATTTTTATTAAGTCACATCGAAAATATTGGGATTTTTTTCCTTTTTGTCATAATACAACTCAAATGATCCCTAATTTACAAATTAAATTAGGCAAGAATGATTGTTGCCAAAACAACAAATAAACCAAAGGAAACTTTCAATTTTGCAGCAGATGAAGGTGGTGGTGCTTGATCAGCCGGAGGTGCATCAGCGTCTGGTGCACCTGCCGGTGCATCAGCATCCTTAGAAGGAGCAGGGGCCTCTGCTTCCTCTTCAGCAGGGGCCTCTGCTTCTTCCTCGGAAGGGGCCTCAGCTTCCTCCTCTTCAGCAGGGGCCTCTGCTACTGGTGAACTCTTAGGCGTATTCGCCTTTGGTGGTGGAGCTGAAATTGGTGCCATTGTTCCATCAATACCAGGTGTAACAATAGGTTGAGAAATTCCAAGAATTGAGATATTGTAAGGCTGATTCATGACGGATTTTTCAAGTTTTGAATTTCGTTGAGCGCCAACAACAGCTGATCCAAAAATAAAACTACCATCTCTAGCAGTAACATTCAAGAAACCTTGATCATATGCTGCTTTACCAGATTGTTGATACATTGTTGTCATTTTAGCTGTTTTGTCCTTCATCCTCTGGAGTTTCATTGGATCGTAGTAATCCAACACGACGTGTGTAGCCAACACCCTCTTAAGAACATCATCCGATTTCGAGGTGAGATCACCTACTGCACCATTTGGTATAGCTAAAAGTGTAATTGTACCCCTTGAGTTAATATCAGTGGCTAAGCCAGATTTCGATAAAAGTTCATTGAAAGTGCTGTAATCGGGATATTGACCGAGGATTCTTGTGATATTAAAGGCTGAGGCTGAGGACGCGAACAAGATTAAGAACGAACAAAGCAAAGGAACAGTTGATCGACTCATTTTTGCTGGCGATTTTTTCGTTTTTTTTTTCTAAAACCAGCAAAAATGAGAGATTTATTTTTATTATTATTAAGAGGAAAACAACCAACTCTGACTTGAAAAAATTGAAGAAAATGGAGGAATTTATATAGTGAAGGGATGTTAAAGCTTGTGGATGGGAGTGATTTTCTCTGTTCCTTACAAGTGAATAAACGCATGAATAGCACAGTATAGGAAGAGAAAATATCGGTCAAAATTTGGATGAGATGAAGCTTCCACAAAACTATTGATTTTATTATTTTTTTTGGAGAATTTGATATCGTAACTATTCATTGTTCTCTTTATCCATATCCACCTAAATTATTATATGGAGTTAAAGAGTTAAGACCGGCTCTCTACTAGTGCACCACCTAAAAAATAATATATCAAGTTTTGTCGATGACCACGGGTTTACTTGATGCCTTTTTTATACATAAATTTGATATTGTTCCCTTTGTATTAAAACACACCTCAATATTGGTTAGCCAAATATTTTTCTCATTTGACATCAGACGCATGTAGGCAAACGTAGCATGTAAAATGGCTAATTCTTGTAAAATGGCTCCTAAATGTCCAAAATATGTCCAAAAATGGTGAAGCTTCAGGTACTTCTCCCAAAACTCCCTACGAAGGGTTCCTTAAGGGTTTCACAAAAAAATCAATCAGAAGTCATATCACCAAAATATTCATGGCTAAAACATATGAGAACCTGAGAAAATCGTGTAATTCTTGTAAAATGGCTCCTTAATGCCCAAAATATGTCTAAAAAATGGTGTGACTTCACATATCGTAGGGAGTTTGGGGACTGACGGAATTCCGATCCTACATCAAAATTTCTGAATGTTGACTAAAGTCAACTCCTTAAGCATTAGACCATCAAAACTAAAAAAATTTACACTACACTCAACCGACTACCTCAAGAAGAAGGTCATCTATCCCAGCACCACACAAAAGCTATAAGAAAGCTATGGGAAGGGGCAAAACAGTAAAAGCACACAAAAACACATAAATGTCCTCGAAGGTCATTTACAGAACTTTTCGCCAAACCTTTATAGAACTCTCTATAGGGAGTTGGGGGAACAGTATGTATAGTCTCATCATTTTTAGAGTGATTTTTGGGCATTTAGGGGCCAAAATTTCAAGAATTAGGCGATTTTCTCAATTTTTAGTGTGTTAGTTCATTAATATTTTGGTGATATGGTTTCCGAATGATTTTTTGCGGAACCTTTATGGAACCCTCTATAGGGAGAATAGAGAGTTGTACATACATTCTCACCATTTAAAAAGTGATTTTTGTGCATTTAGGGGGCAAATTTTAGGAATTAGGCGATTTTCTTAGTTTTTTGTGTGTGTTAGCCCGTGAATATTGTGGTGATATGGCTTCTAGGCAAATTTTTTGCGGAACCTTTATGGAACCCTCTCTAGGGATTGGGGAGCAGTACGTACATTCTCACCATTTTTATAGTGATTTTTGGGCATTTAGGGGGCAATTTATAGAATTAGGCAATTTGCTCAATTTTTTGTGTGTTAGCCATGAATATTATGGTGAAATGGCTTTCGAATAATATTTTTGTAGAACCTTTATGAAACCCTCCGTAGGGAGTTGGGAAAGCAGTACGCATCACCTCACCATTTTTAGAGTCATTTTTGGACATTTAGGGGTCAATTTATAGGAAGGCATAATACATAAAGATGACCCTTAATTTGGCATAAGCGGACAACTATGTCCTCCAACTTTGAGCACGAAAAACTGAGAAAATCGCCTAATTTTTATAAGTTGGCCCCTAAATGCCCAAAAATCACTCTAAAAATGGTGAGACTGTACGTACTACTCCCCCAACTCCCTACGAAGGGTTTCATAAAGGTTTCGCAAGAAATTCATTCGAAAGCCACATCACCAAACTATTCATGGGTTGTCACACACGAAAAATTGAGAAAATCGCCTAATTCCTATAAGAAATAATACATAAAAATGACCCTTAACTTAGTGTCAGCCGACAACTATGACATTTAACTTTTGGTGTGCACAAGTAGACACTTAAACTTGTATAAAATTGAACAAGTAGACCCACGTGTCCTACATGGCATAATACATGTAGAACCTCACGTATGACACAAAATTGTCATGTAGGGTGCCATGTAGGACGAATGTATTTATTTGTTCAATATTATACAAGTTTAAGTGTCTACTTGTGCACACCAAAAGTTAAATGTCATAGTTGTCGGCTGACACTAAGTTAAGGGTCATTTTTATGTATTATTTCTTATAGGAATTAGGCGATTTTCTCAATTTTTCGTGTGTGACAACCCATGAATAGTTTGGTGATGTGGCTTTCGAATGAATTTCTTGCGAAACCTTTATGAAACCCTTCGTAGGGAGTTGGGGGAGTAGTACGTACAGTCTCACCATTTTTAGAGTGATTTTTGGGCATTTAGGGGCCAACTTATAAAAATTAGGCGATTTTCTCAGTTTTTCGTGTGTGTTCGTTCACAAATTTTCTGGTGATATGGATTTGGAATGATTTTTTGCGAAACCTTTATGGAACCCTTTGTAGGGAGTTGGAGGCGCAGTACGTACAGTCTCACCATTAGTGATTTTTGGACATTTAGGGGCCAATTTACAAAAAAATAGACGATTTTCTCAGTTTTTCTGTGTGTTAACCCATAAATATTTTGGTGTATGACAAAATTGTCTCATTTTGATTAGTTCTAGAGTACTTACATTCCACAATTAAGAAAGAAATAGGTAATTAACTTTTGTCAACTCAAAATATGACCAGTGTTTTGTCATTCTAATCAAACAAGATAATATACATTAATTATAATTTTTTTGTTAATGACTGATTCTCATGCATGCATGCAATTGTAAGGAATAGAGACATTCACTCCAATTCACAAACTCAATAACCCTTCACCTCCACAAATTCACTATATATAACTCTCAATCTTTTTCTATTTTCACAAGTCAAAGTTGGTTGTTCTATCTAGGAAGAAACATAACCAAAAAACACAAAAATAAATAATTACATTTTGTTCTATTTTTCTTCCTTTTCTTTTATTACTCCCTTTCTTTGGCTTGAACAATATTTCCGGCAAAAATGAATCGTTCAATTATTCCCCTCCTTTGTTCCTTCCTCCTCCTCTCCGCCTCCTCGGCCTCCGCCTTTAATATCACAAAAATCCTTAGCCAATATCCCGATTACACCAATTTCAATGACCTGATATCGAAAACTGGCTTAGCTAGTGAAATAAACGCTAAGTCAACAATAACACTCTTAGCAATCCCAAATGGTGCAATTGGTGATCTTACCTCGAAATCAAACGATGTTGTCAAGAAGATCTTGACAACACACGTCGTTTTGGATTACTACGACACAATGAAACTTCAAAAATTGAAGGACAAGACTACTAAATTGACAACAATGTTTCAAGAATCTGGTAAAGCTTCAAATGATCAAGGATTCTTGAATGTTACTGCTAAAGACAATACGTTCGTATTTGGATCAGCTGTTAAAGACGCTCAACGCGATTCAAGGCTTGAGAAATCCGTCATGAATCAGCCTTACAACATCTCAATTCTTGGAATTTCTCAACCTATTGTTACACCTGGTATTGATTCACCACTTGCACCATCATCAGCACCACCACCAAAGGCGAATACACCTAAAAGTTCGCCACCAAAAGCAGAGTCCCCTGCTGAAGAAGAGGCAGAGGCACCTACAAAGGAAGATGAAACAGAGGCCCCTGCACCCTCTAAGGATGCCGATTCGCCGTCCGCTGATTCACCTCCAGCTGATGCTCAATCACCATCATCATCAGCAGCTGAGAAATTGAAGATTTCTTTTGGTTTCTTTGTTGTTTTGGCATCAATGGTTGCAGCCTATTAAAAAAAAAAAGGTTAGAGTTCGATTTCTCAGATGATCACTCAATCAGTATTTATTATCTCAGAAAGTCATTTCCGAGATAATAACTATTAGTTGAATTGATCATATGAGAAATCAATTCCTATTAAAAAGGGTTTTTGTGTTGGATTGTACTTTGTAGAGAGGCAAAAATAAATTGCTGATAAATCATATGTACACAAGATTTTTTTTAGATATTAAAACTAAAATTATGATTTTCAAAATATAAAAAAAGTGTATATTTATCATTAAAATGATACTCTTTTTTATGCATTCAACGAGAGAAAAGGCTTAAAATGGTCCATTATCAAAGTCAAACTTGTTTTTTACACTAATCATTAATACATTAGAACAACTGAACAAGAATAATAAAAATACAAGGAATTCAAAACAAAACTTGCTTGGCTTAGAGGCACGTTAATGCATCTCTTGAAGATAGTTGGAGTCTCTCCCATGAGCAAACGAAAGAATAAATAACAATTCTACTTCAGGATTCAACTAAGTCACAAAACAAGTAGCTTTTAAGAATGTTGCTCTTATATTCTTGAATTGATGATTTCACCTTTGGATTAATGTTAAATTAGGTCTTAGGCCTAACTCAGACCCCAAAAGCTAACTCAACGAGAGGAGGATTGCCCAAGCCTTATAAGGAGTCCACCCATCCACTCATCTGATTAACCACCAATGTGAGACTTTTTGTTTTAACACCCCACCTCACGCCCAGTGCTTAGCATCTTGTGCGTGGGCAATTTTGGGTAATTTTTGACCTACCTCACGCCCAATGCTTAACATCTGGTGCGTGGGTAATTTTTTGGACAATTTTTAATTTTTTTTTTGTCCCTAACATTGGGTGAGATAGGCCCTGTTCTGATACCATGTTAAATTAGGTCTTATGCTTAACTCACATCCCAAAAGCTAGCTCAAATGGAAGAAGATTGTCCAAGCCTTATGTCACACCCCGAGCCTACACCCTGGGCAGGACTGGCACTCGAAGACCATTGATGGCCCCAAGCGAACCCTTGGCCTGGCTTACTTAACTCAGCGAAAGACTTAAACTCAACCAAGGTAAGTTCATATAGT